AATTTCTTTGATAAAACTTTTAGAATAATTAATCAATTTTGGTTCTAACAATCTCCCCCAAAGTTTTATAAAGCAAGCATCCTCAAGAAGCCTTCAGGTCTTCTCCCCCCAGCTTTCTTCAATAAAGCTTTAGTGTGCTTGGTATGGATGGAATCTTCAAGCTCCCCCCTGAATGTAGCTCTCTATTCTTCATTTTTTACTCTTAGACCAAATCAGATTCAATGTGAATGCAGCACCACTGATTGCACAAAATGCAGCTTTAATCTGCCTACAATCCAACACATACTTTGAAGCACATAATAGCCACTTAACCCCAAAAGTAGCAAATTCATCCAACTAAGGGATAGATAAATGTGTGAATTTCTTGACAAAATAGTGCAACCAGTCTTATGACAAAGAATCTTTCGTTGAACTACAAGTTGAGTAGAAATCAGCTTTAGAGCTTGATCCAATTGGAGATTACTTGAATAACCAAAGCAAACACCATTGGAATTGAGAAACGGAGAGAAGAATTAACATTAAGCTTATGGCTTCAAAAAACAGCAGGTCAATTCAAAGAAAATTGACAGTATTTGCTGTTGATGCTTCTAAGGGCAAAACATGAAGGAATATCGCCATATTCATATAGGATTGATGATTGCAGGTAAATAAATCTTTAAGCTCTTACAGATTCAGATTTACAAGGAGAGACAATAAACAAATACTCAAGATATGGGTGATAAGTATAGGTTTGACAAACAAAATGCCCATTGCCTTAGGCTGTAAGCACCATGAACTCCTGCTTAAGGCCTACACGTAGATCTGACAAAATCAAGGTTCAAAAGTTCAACTTACTCCAAGAAACTCCATCAAATAAACCAAAATTTTTTTTGATCAAAAATAGGTTTGTATTCATCCAATAACAAATCCCTTAAAAGGAATTTGATTAAACCATTTAATCATATGATGAATCGATGAATTTTGGGTTCAAACTGCAGTCGAACAGGAAGCGGTTCATGAAAGAGTATTGTTTAAGAAAATTGAATCTACTGAAGAAATATCGAATTAATAGAAGTTAATCGATTTGGCTCTGATACCAATTATTAATCCCAGATCTAACAGTAGAGTAATGTAAAGGAATTTAAAAAGAGATTTGTAGAAATGCTATTGATACCCAACTATTGGGGTCCAGCACTGTTAGAGGCATCATCCATTGGTGCTGAGGAATCAGCGTCAGCAGATGGCATCACTAAACCTGAAGAGGTTTGAGTGGAGAGAGGAACAACCTCTAACACTAGTAAGATAGAGTCAATGAAAGTCTTAACTAAGCCTGATGAAGAGGCTTCAATGGTTGGAATTACAACGTCTGATGCGGAAGACTTAACAGCAGGTGTTATCTTCACTGAGCCTGAGGAAGAGGCTCTAGGGGTTTCCTTCACTTTGGTTGCTTTTGCTGCCTTGGTGTAGGATTTTGCCTTAGTTGATTTCTCATCCTTGGCTACTTTCTTGCCCTTAGCTGGTGGACCATCCTTGGCGATAGAAGGACACTTGCTGGCAATATGTGTATTTTCAACATAGTGTTTACACTTCCTAAAGCTGAAGGTAACTTTAAGGCCAGGAAGTAATAGATTAGAAGAGGGACCAGCTCCAAGGATTCCCTTCTCATTAGTTCTTGGAGGAACCTTTGAGACTTTGGAGTCCTTAGGTGAAACATTCACCTTGAACTGAGACTTGGATTTCTGAGAGGATTTAGATTTCCTAGTCCATGAAGAAGAAGGTTTACAAGTTGAAGGAATAGACCTTGATCTATTTGACTTGTTATATTTCTTAGGAAGAGGTGCTGTGACAATAGATTTACCTTTGTCTTTGCAACCTGAACTCGAAAGAGTTCCATCAAGATGACTCTCAGTAAAAGAGGACTAAGAGGAAGAAGTGTCAGGAATGGAAGAGACGAAGGTACCAAACTTAAGCATGGACTTGTCAGTGACACATTCTTTCTTATCATAGGAGAATCCTAGACCAGTCTTTATCTTGGTCGGGATCTGAGTCTTGATGATCTTAGAGGCTTTGATAGAGGCTTTGCACCACCCTTCAATGGTAGCCTTCTCAGCCTTGAGTTCAACGATTGCTCGCTCACACTCAGCGATAGCCTTTTCGAGTTCAACAGTGATGGCTTGGTTTACAATGACCTAATCCTTTAGGTTTTCTTAAACCTTGGTCAGCTCCTTGATCTTAGAACAGCAAATCTTCAACTGTTCTTGAAGATCAAGATTAAGCATTTATGCTTTTGATTTGCCATTGAGGGCATTGTAAAGATCTACCGTCAACGTGTCTAGAGCGGATGGGCTAGAAGAAGAGAAGAAGGCTCATTCAGGATATATACCTGAGCAGTAGGATAGGTTGATGGTTCAGTTGAAGTAGATGTCTCTGAAGCTTTTTCTTTGACATCCTTAGTTATCAAGCAAAGATAGGTTGTATCTTTGATGATGATTCATCAGATGAATCAGCCCAATCATGCTCTTCAGCGATAAGACCTTTTGCCTTTCGTTGGTGATTCTTCATCTTCTTATACTTCTCCTTTAGTTTTAGGTATTTGTCATCACTGGACCTGAAAGAGGATGGGGTTTTGGAAAATGGCGTCGCAACTTTCTTCGATCTGCATTCACCTGCAAAATGTCCAGTGCGGTGACAATTGTAGCAGATTACTGAAGCCTTGTCTATCTTGTCAGACTTTGGCTTTTCTTTAATGGTCAGCAAAGGAGATTTGCGATAGTTTCTCTTGCTGGAGAATCTCCTAAAAGATTTAGTCAAAATCACCAGGAACTCATCAAAATCTGCAAGATCAGATTCTGGTATATCCTCAGAGTTAGTAGAGTCTAACTCTGTAATTACAACAGGAGGAAGAGATGAAGAAAAAGAAGAAGAAGAAAGAGTTTCATCTGAAGCATCTTCAGAGATCAAAGCTAACAAGAGCTTTCATTTCTCTGGAATCTTTGACTATATTCCTTTTCAGCTGATGAGATTGCTCATGATTAAGCAGAATCCCGTAGAAGGTAGAGAGAGAAAGAGAGGACATGTCATTGGACATCTTAAGACACATGGAAAAGGTGTCCCAAGATTCAGGAAGACATTCCAGAACTTAGTTAAAGTTTCAGAGTTGGAATATTCCCTGCCAACAGTCCTAAGATCAATAAGAAGACAATTAAAACGTTGATGTACTTCAGACAGTGTCTCAGTCTTTCCACAGAGAAAGCTTTCATACTGCCTTACTAAATTAATCTTCCTTGATTCTTGAACCTGAGAGGTTCCTTCATATTGAACATAAAGAGTGTCCGACATGGTTTTAGAAGTCCTGAGTTTCATCACCGGGTGATAAACCTCGTCAGGAAGAGACATAGCTATTATAGACCTAGCACGAGTGTCTATAGCTATTTTCTTCTTGTCTTCATCACTCCACTAATGACGGAGCTTTGGAATCTGCCCTTCAGGAATCGTGGCAGTCGTAGCTGTTGCGGGAATAGCCTGAGAAATAGCAAATGGTACATATGGTCCATTTTCTATATAGTGTCGAATTTCAGGATTCATACCTTTCAGAAAGAGGAACATCTGGTTCTTCCAAAGATTAAAGTTGTCACGAACGAACTAGGGATGTTTGGCAAGAGAGCCATTGTCTTGAACGTGTGTATTTGTGTTTTACAAAGCCATTTAAAAGCAGTAATATTATCTAGAGAAGAAGATAAAGTAATGCAGAAAAATAACTAAACAACTAGAAAAGATAGAACACTGCTCTGATACCACTTGTTGGTCCCGTTAGGGTCTACAAGATGTGTATACCATTTTGCAGAAGAGGGGGGATGAATACAAACACAGTATTTTTAAATTTAAAATATATATTGATAAGAGAAGATCAATACGGATTTTACAAGACTGTTTGCGGAAAGATAAGGTAAGAAAACTTATCTAAACAATCTGAAGTTTACACACTAACTCTTAGCAAACAAGAAAAGATTTGTTGTTTAAAGAAATAGAAGAAAGTAAGTTCTATCTGGGGATGAACTTGTTTAGAATGCAATAAAAGGGATTCTAACTTGCTCTTGAAGATGAGCGTATTTGTTCTTAGATGTGTGTTCTGTTACTTAAGTGCAAGGATGCTCAAAGTAAGGTTTAGGTTAAAAGTGTAGTATCTCTGCATGGAGATGGAACACATCTATTTATATCCATTGCATTAAATGCACAATTAATGCAACATGGTAGGGTTGGAACGTGTGTCAAGCCTTAAGGGGAAGGCTTGTCCTTTGCTACAGTGAATAGTACAAAAGCCTATTCATGAGCAGACATCCTTTCACAAAGTTGGTGGGTAATAGAGTGAACTAGTCGGCTCCTTACCGTACTAACATTTAGAAAGGGTATGGGTTTGTCCTTTGTGTGTATAAGAACAAGACAACAAAAATCATGCTTAGCAAGCTTCATTTGATCGCTGAATGTTGGAATTAACCTGAAGGTCTCTTCAGCATTCGTTGAGGCTTGGGCAGTCTTCACACATATGTAGATAGGCTTGTAATCACTGAATATCGCTTCAGATCACGTACTCACCAGTCTCTAATCTTCAGTTTCAGTCTTCGACATTTGCTGAAGGTTCTTTGGTGTGACTGTTGTCTTCTTGAAGTATCGATGTTGCTGATTGAATTTTACAATACAAGTTCTTCAGCGATCACTAAACCGACTCAGTGGAGATCGCTGGAACTGAAAAGACAGAAACAAAAATACTTCGAATAGAATAAAAGGGATTATCATCAAATCACTAAGAGAAAGAGAGAGGATCAACAATTCTCTCGAGGCATCTCAGCAAACCGTCGCCTATCCTCTCAAAGGCCACGTGGAGCGAACCAACGTTAATCCTTCAGATAACATTGATGAACCCTCAGGTACTCCATCTTCATACCCTTTTGTTTCTACTAACCCCGAGCTCTCTTATGCTCACACTAGTTCCTTTTCAGGTCTTTTTTGCAGAGACGCCAGCCATGGAAGATGAGTACAACATGGCTGATGATGTAAAGCTACTCCTCCCTGTCGTAGAGACTGTCCTGATCAAAATGGATGAAGTCCATAAGGGCATGCCTCTTAGGGACGAAATATCTATTGACCTTTTAGCCGTCCGTGCTGAAGTACAAGAGGTCAAGGACCAGCTTTCAATGATGCAAATAGCTGTTTAAGCCAACGCTGAGGCCATCAATACTTTAACAAGCAAGGACGATGAAGCGAATGCTCATCTTGCCAAGCACACAGAGCTGATGCAACATATATTGACTACTCTCCAACAGCCAATCCCAGAACCTGAACTGTCGTTCAATGCTGAGAACCGCGACCAGCTTGATCAAACGTGTGAAGCTACTGTTCTTCTAGCTTGCGCTGTGACCAAACTCGAAGAGATGATGGCACTCCACATCTGTACTGTTGACCACTTCTTTGGCTATTGTTCCAAAGCCATAGCCAAAGAGGGGGAGACAGAGTCTGGAGCTACCCCTTCAAATGTTGTTGATCCCGCTGAACCTGCTGTTCCAATGACTGAAGCTGAAGTTGATGTCGTTGATGAAAACCCAACTTTCTATGAAGCTCCTGTAGCTGAGGATGTTGATGTCGTCCGAGCTGGCGTTGAAGCTCGTGACGAGGACCTTCCTCCAATCACCTCTGCAGCTAATGCTGGTGATATGGAAGATGATGATGAAGATGCAGACGGTGAATCTCTCAACCTTTCTGACGTTAGTGAAGATCTGGATGATGATGATGATGATGAAGATGACGATGACAACGACTATACCATTCAGTACTAGAGACCCACCGATGCCACGAAAGGCGTCGCCCTTAGGGATTCTGCATCCCAGGGGGAGCAAGGGGAGAAAGAGAAGGAGACACAAGAAAATAACCAGAACAACAAGTCGAAAGACAAGGGTATTGCTGAAGAAGGCAACCTTAAGGTACTTTTCTAACCCTTAGAGCCTTTAAGCAATGAGTCCTCCAGTTTCACTACCATCACATCTATATATCAACTCTCCATCCCTTCCATTACCTGCGGTCGGTTGGAGGAATGGGTCCATGAAAATCCAACCCCTAGCGCTACCACCGACCATCAGATGTCTCAGCTGAAGAAGTCACTTGACCAAACTAGAGTAAAAATATCTTTTCGTACCTCTACTTGTGGTGAATTCGACTTTCTGACAAAAGTTGAAAGACTCGGCACTCAAGGCCGATACAGAACTCAGACTTCAGCGACAACAGATTGATGACAACTTAAAGTTGGCCAAGTCTCTTGTCGCTAATGTTCTTCCAAAAAAGAAATCCAAAAAGATGGTGAATGTTGTCTAGGCCCAGGCTAAGCTTCTTTCTATTGCAGAAGCTGAACGCGAGAAAACCCTGAAGCTGGTCGAGCACGATAGAAAATGGAGCGAAGCACGTTTACACAAGAGGATCAGTCCTCACCCAATTTTAAACATCACCGTCAGCGGATGGACGAAAGACAGTGGAGTTCTGGTCTCTATGCTCATCACCAAGGATAACCTTGACGCTGTCATGGAGTACCCTTCCTACCTCGGAGAGTATGGCTACAATGAATGGCTAGAGATCCGCCAAGCCATTCAGCGCTCAAAATCAAGACATAAGCCGATTATTGAAGACATCATCAATGATCTGATCAAGAAGATGTTCAGGTATATCGGGTCCCTGAAAAGCCTACTCTGAAGAAAGGTGGAAGAAGAAGATCTTCAAGTCCTAATGACAAACCAACCTTGAGGAACGAACATGAAACAAAGTTATCCTTGGATGAAGTCTTGAAGGCTTCGAAGAAGCCAAACATTTCTATGTTGAACCTGTCATTGCCAGTGAAGGGTCCTTACATACCCAACACTGTGCACATGAAGCCTGAGTTAGGATTTATCTTCCTTGACTAGGAAGGCGAAGTCAGTTTTCAAAAAATGTCTGAGCTACATCTATGCCCAATGGATCATCTCGCGCACATCAGATTCTGGCCAGATGATGACATATATGGTGAAGTGATGGACCGCAAGATCAGAAAGGAATTCCTACGTCGAAAGGAGCTCAAAGAAGAATTACCTGGCTACATCAACCTGAGCAACTTAGAATAGCTATTTCTATTTTATAATTTGTCCATTCACTGTATATCTTTTATTTCTATGTCTACTTTCAGTGTTCAACTTATATGTTGTAAGTCCAAGAAATGTACTAAAACACTTGTAATCTTTACTTTGAATTAATATAAGTATTTCTTTTACATCACTGAAAAAGATCCCTGTATATGAGTTCCAGTGTTCTCTTACAGTCACTGACAATCTATAAGTCAGTGAACATGCCTTCAGTTTCAGCTTCCCTTCTTGTACTTTTTCTTAAACTTGTAACTTAAGAAAATTTATTAAATAAAAACTGACTCACAGAAAAAGATCCCAAAACAGTTAAAAGGGACATGTATTTTATATATAACTTTTCCATATTGTTAGTTGATAAGGCAACTTTCTTTATGTTGCTTTGTTATCATCAAATAGGGGGAGATTGTTGATCCACTCTCTCATTAATTTGATGATAATCCCTTTTACCTTTTACGAAATATTATGATTTTGTCTTTCAGTTTCAACAATCGTCACTGAGTCTGTTCAATGATCGTTGAAACATGTATTGTAAATCCTACAACGACAGCAATACTTCAAGAAGACAAAACTCACACCAAAGAACCTTCAGCAAAAGTCGAAGACTGAAACTGAAAATTAGTGACTAACGCGTTTGTGATCTGAAGCGGCATTCAGTGATTACAACCTGGTCAACATATGTGTGAAGACTGCCTAAGCCTCTACGAATGCTGAAGAGACCTTCAATGTTATTCCAGCATTCAGCGATCAAATGAAGCTTGTTGTGCAAGATTGCTTTTGTCTTGTCCTTCCACACACAAAGGACAAACCCATACCCTTTCTAGAGTGTAGTACGGTACGGAGCCGACTAGTTGACTCTATTACCCACCAACTTCATAAAAGGATGTCTGCTCATGAATAGGCATTTGTACTATTCATTGTAGCAAAGGACAAACTTTTCTCTAAAAGCTTGACACATATTCAAACTCTACTGCATTGAATTAAATGTACATTTAATTCAAGGAGTATCAATAGATGTGTGCTCTCTCCATGAAGATATACCAATCCTTACGTGCATACGTGAAAGAACAGACACACATCTAAGAACACTCACGCTTATCTTCAAGCAAGTTAGAATTCCTCTTAAGTATTATAAAAGTTTTTACCCATAAAGAATTTATTTATTTCTTTATATTTCAGCAAATTTTTTCTCTTTGCTAAGAATATCTATGTGTAAACTTAGATTGTTTTAGATAGGTTTTTCTTTACCTTATCTATTTGCGCATACAATCTTGTAAAAATCGGTATTGATCTTTCTTTATCAATATATATTTTTAAATTTGAAAGTTCCTTCTGTTTGTATTCGTCCCCCATTCTACAAACTGTTTCTATAAAACTCTTGTAGACCCTGACGAGACCAACATAACAATCGTCGAGGATAGACATGTGCTAGTATTAATCGAAGATAAGTAATTAAGTAGGATGTTGATTGTCAATGATCGTCTGTCGTGGATATTGATGTTATCAGAGATATCGGCGACTAATCGGTGAAGGTGGTCTCATTGAGAATAATATCCTCGATGATTGAAGTTAAGAATTTTCAGCCAAACATATATGAGGATGTATATGTGCACAAATCCACAGATATTAATCACCATTTTTTTGTTAAATAACACAATTTTCCGACGAATTTCTGACAGATTATTGAAAATAATAAATAAATATAAATCCGACACAAATCCACTACAAATTTATTCGGAATTTTTTTTTGAAAACTAGTGGTGCATTTATGACGGAAATCAATAAAAAGTTGGTTTTTCCAGTCCGTCAAAAATCCTTCGATGATTTACAACTAAAAAATCCGTCAGGAAAACCCACATTGTTTTTAGGAGTGGTGCTACCTCCGCGGTAGTGGGTCACCACATTAAAGCGACTTGTACGTTAATTGCTTGGATATTGGTTGTGGACGTTCTATTATGTTTAGATCGTCACATACGTGCAACTAGACCCTTTATTTCCGCTTGTTATTTGTGGTTAAACGTGCGTTTAAATTCCTGTATTACTTATAACCTACGAGATTGTTTGTAGTTTGTCTTTGTTAGCTTTAAACCCTCATATTCTTGAATGACCATTAAGCATTGGATTAACCAAACTCTTTAACAACAAATGCATACATAAACAAAACCCTAAAACTTCAGATAATAATGCATGAAAGATTGCATATTCAAATTTAAAAACGCATGAAAATAATGTTGAGGATATGAAAAAAGAAAGGTGTGTTTATTCCAAGGGTTTTTGGGTTGGTGTGGTGGTGGGGTGATGTTTTGTGAGAGTCTCTTTAGGTGGTTGTTGAAGAATATTATGATCAGCTTTTGCTTTGAATCTCATGCATGCCTCAAAGAAATAAGTGACTTGTCTTCTTCACTACTTACAATACTCCAGACAAAATTCATAAAGTGGTGGGAATGTTTTGGGATCAGACCACATCACTATTCATGTGATCCTTGTATATCAACCAATAAAGTATACAGTGTTTAGAAATATGTATAAAACTTGTTTAATAAATAATATGTGTTCTAAAATACAATTTGTATTACTCGAAAAAATAACTGAAAGCATTGATTAACAGACTCAAAATCGTCATATTCTGAAACATGCATTTTCTTACATTCTCTTAACGCAACAATTGTTAAGACGTGACATGGTATGTTATATGCATGATGCTACCAAAACGTATTTTTTAATTTACTCTTGTTGACTCTTAAAACTAGGGCCTATTTGTTAGCAACTTAATGAGCTTAATGAGATTTAGAGCTTATTTAGTTAGCTATACATGTTTGTTTGGTAGTGGCTTAATGATATAGAAAATGGCTTATTCAGTAAAATTTCATGAAAAACCGTTCCGTTTATCTATGAAAATATTTCCTAAATAAAAACTTTTACAATCTATACAGACATATTAATTCACACAGACAACTTTATCCATACAAAATTTAATGAAAAACCAACCAAACAACCCTTAAACTTTTTTTATATTTTTTGTAAGATTTATATATGTGTCTATATAATATATGTAAACAAATTTTTTCTTTTTATCTGTTAGGATGCCTAAAAACGTCTGATAAACTTATTGCAACAACTTTCGATGGGACGCTTTATTTTTTGTCATATAAATTAAGTCCTATAAAGTGGTTTATTCCGACACTTAATTTTCTTTGGCGTCTTATAAACCTAATTTTGTTGTAGTGATAATTTTTTTAATTGTTTGAATAATCATTGTTTAATCTTAATATTTAATCTTTCATTTTGTTGTTATTTTAGTTTTCTATACTTTGACTTTATATTAATAGTCTCATGTTAAATGAAATTAATTTTCAATATTTTACTAGCATATTTCAATTTCTAACTAAAAAAATATGCAAATTTATCATGATTTCCTTTGTTTTTTTAAACTTGAGATTTTTTAACGTTAATTTTTTTTATGACTTTAATAGTTTTTAAGTAAATATATATATATATATATATATATTTAGTATATACTTTGCTTTAAGATATTTTGATTTTTGAATGGATACATAAAAAAAACTAATATTTTTTTTAATAAAAAGTCGTGAATCACATTATTTTAGATTAGATTATATTTTTGGTCCTATAATTTGTTCAAAGACCGATTAATTATTTATAATGATTGTTAATTA